AAGAGTGTGCTACATTCTGTACGTTTGTTCAGTCTCATAGACAAACCCTTATTACCATGCAGGCCCTAAATGAAGTTTAACAGAATTTCTGGAGGCCTTGGGGTGCTAATTCAGTATTATAAAAGGACTTGCAATCTCAAGAAACATCACTTATCACTTCCTTGACCAACCTAATCATTATAGGCATCTTCAACAAACAGAAAACTGTGTAAGTTTGTAGTTAATGTTTGCCAATACCTATGGAAAAAGTTAGCCAAACTGGTTTTGTTCAGTTTGGGTTTGACGCATAGAGAATTAAAAGATTATCTGTATTTAAGCTGAACTGCAATGACTTGACTTTATAGCAGCTACACACACGCATAAGCACAAATTTGTCACTGGAGAAGTGCAATATGATAATTTTGAATGTCAGAATGGGTGGATGTAGTCACTTCTGAAAGATACACAATTACGTTACTCGAACTTGGGTAATTAGAGACAGATAGGTAATTCACAAAGTAGAATTTCTAACAGACCATGTTACAGTCTTTCGTACAAACCTGTCAGTGAATCATCATTTCAATTAGAGTTGTTGTTTTACATTCCTTTTTCTTCTTAATTCATCAAAACAAGTTATTGCTACTAATAATGACATTCCAAAGACACAGTGCACCTATATTTGATGAGTTTTGTTTCCAAGTAAATCTATGAAGTGCTGCAGATAAAAAGGAAAACCTCCTTATGATGTCACATCAGTATGTTACTCATTAACTGATTTTAAAAGCCAGCCTGAGGTGGAGTCACACCAGGACTGCACTTCCTACAGCAGTGAAAGGCTGCGCGTTTGAAGGATCACTCTAAAACTGAACTTACCTAACTCTACAGTTAACTCCAGTAAAATGATGAGAAAAGGGAATTCCTTGGAGGACTCTGTTTTTCATTCTGAAAGGGAGAACAGCTTCCGAAAATCAAGTAACGACACACCAGTCAGCCCTACAGAGAGTTTTGGATCAGTATTTATAAGGTAAATCCTGATGTGTTTGAGTGTTCTGTATGTACTTGATGCAGGGTGGGGAACAGGGCAGCAACACAGGAGAGCACTGGGACAAATACACCAGTGAAAATACCCTGATGAGGAAGCTTAATATGAGAAGGCAATGCGTGTAGAGATGGTAATTCCACTCATGTAACTGATTGCACTGGGAAGGGAAGCACAACTGTACAGATGAAATATGTAAGGGAGGACAGGCGGGTGTTATTCTCTCTTTCCATATCTACTACACTGAAGTAGGGCTTTGAGTGTGTACAGCACTGTACACTAATAAACTCAAGTCTTAAAATGACCTCTGCGAGGTCATCCAATACTATCTATGATACTTGAGTGAATCTCTGTACAAAACAAATTTAAGTTTTGTTATAACAGGGAGTTCAACAAAATATTTTCCTGCGTGTTTTGGCCTATATGAAACTTTACAATGCTTATTAAGTTATGTTTCAAGAGAAATGCTACCATAATTATAAGGTGTATTCATGGAAACTGAAAGCTTGCACGAATGAACACTGCTAAAAGGTTTGCCGATAGAAAAACTGCAAACAATTTTAAGGGGAAGTCTGTTTTCTTACTTTGGAAGGGTGGACTTGGGGATTGCGGACTCACATTGAGGTGGAATTCATTGTAATGAAGAGTTCTGCATAAATCATGCACATTTTAGACAGCATAGATAAATGAGGGAAAGCAGTGTCAGAGGGTTAGTGGCACTTACCATTCATCCTTCCCCATCTACTGCAGGAGATGTGCACAAATTCTTTATATGGGGTTACGGCTCATATCACTAAGTGGATCACAAGTATAAATAAGTCTGCTGGCTTCATTTTTCCTCTTTTGAAATGTTATTAAGGCTTTTTAATATTATATCTGCATAATGTCCTTTCTTCCTACTCAAGTGTAAGGGAGATAATGTCCAACGGTTTGAACAGAGAACAAGTAATCAGAAATTTAAAATTTTAATTAAAGTCCTCAAAGACTCCTACCTAGAACTAATCACTTAGAGCCTGTTTTTTAAAACAACACCCACATGTGTTTTTGTATGCCTCTCTTGATCTCATTTTCCGATTAGGCATGAGACATGAGTAGATACAGTGGCGTATGGAGGGTTCAACACAAGCAGGTGATGTTTAACCACTTCTAATTTGGGCAATAGAAAGTTTGCCCTCTTTTCTCTGACCAGCCCAGAACACTGGGCAGACAGATTTACCTACTTTTTTATTTACCACTAGATAACCAGTACACAAAAAGCTACCATATATGCTCTGACAGCAACGTGATCAGCCCTTACAAAGAACAGAGTCCTTTGCCTCAGATTTCGCAACAATCAACCCGCCTGCCAAGTAGCGAGCAGCAGGGCCAGGCCTTCTGGAAATCCAGTTTGCTCAATTGCTGTTTCAGTAAGAAGGATAATAAGATCATAAAACCCTGCTGTGAATCTATACCTCTATCAATAGCAAAGATGGAATAGCACGCTGCAAATACTAGACAATCTAATAAGAAGAATGCATAATTGCATCCAGTGAGATAGTAGCTGGGCTGAGCTCTCACCAAATTTGCTTTTGATGTGTTTGTCGCAGTCATGATACACTTACCCATGTTGAGCTACATGAAAAATCAAGGAAAATGCTTTTGGTAAAAAGAAATGCAAACTCTGCATTTTTAGGTACTATTTTCAATACAGTCCTATTTACATAGAGCATATTTCCCACATACAAAGATGTGTCCACAGAGAAAATTTACTACATTAATGATTGCATTTGTTCATCCCAATTATTCATGCCTGAGGACAAAAACTGATTATATGCCTCCCAAGTTTTTATATACCTCTGCTTTCACGTCACTGTAATTGGCACCATGTGGATGAGCACAAATTTGCCAGAATCCAGGGGCTGATTAACATTTCAGACAGGGGAGCTCATAGTTTATCACCATGGCAGCATGTTATTCCTGACACAGAGCGGAACTGATATCAGAAGCAAATTAAGACTCTGGTGCTGTAGCTGAGGTGTCAGCCATGCATAATAGATCAGAGATTTGTATTGATAAAAGTATTGGCCACATATGTATGCAGCATTTTATCAGCATGAATGTATGCAGTTGTTCTACCACTAGAACAAAACATTTTGCAGTAGTCCAGATCAAAATATTGGCAAAACCAATAGGGATCACGATGTCTCCTGTGAAGGCCATCCCTATATATCAGTCAATACCCTGCATCAAGATCTCCTTAACTGTAGAAAAATCTCGAGCCTTCTGGTTTTGGCCAATCTTCAGAAAGACCCAAAAAAAAAATATACTGAACACAAGAGAATGAGATTTTTAAGCAATTTAGATCAGGACTACTGACCACCATCTCTGTGAATATCATACTGCTACATATGTTAACATGAACTCTCACAATAAAGAAATGCAGTTTGTATATCAAATGCTTGTAAAAAAAAAAAAAAAAAAAAGCACAGATTCAGCATTTGCCAAGAACATTAATATTAGATAGAAATTATAAATAAAAAAAAAAAACAAACAGGAAAAAATACAGTATGGAGAGGTATGTTTTCTAAATGCAAAGTCATGGAAATGGGAGTCAAAAGGGTCCTCAACTCTAATCCTGTCTCGACAGCTCAATTGGTGCATTGCAATGTGTAAATCAATTAAATACATTGTGTTTTCTATCTTTGATCTGGTATTAATACTTTAATATCTTTTACACACAGCAGAATAACAGAAAAAGTGTGCAACAACTTGTAATAAACTGTAAAAACTGTTTTGTTGCAGTTGGGTTTTTGTTTGGACACAAGAAAGGATCCATACATTCAGGTTTTCTCTCTGAAGATTTTTGGATGGGAATGTGAACTTTTTTTACGGATATTTCCTTCTGCATTGAAATTATACCCCTCAGAAACATCCAATACACTGCTGTAGGGCTGAGGATTAGCTCAAACTAATCCAAGAAGTCACGTTAAAGACATAAGCACATACCTACCATCTTCTATAAGTTGTGTTGTCTTTATAGCTCAGTTAGGAGCACCTGAAACACTGGCAACCACTTTATTACTTAATGGCTTGCACCTGGGATTTGGCATTCCCCCTATGTGGCCTTGCAATGTACTTTTTTTTTTTTCCCCCAGAGTAATATAGCATCTAGTTCTAAATGAGACAAACCAGTGAATCTATCCAGCTCAGTAGAATAGGTTATTATTCACAACCCCATCTGATGTAAAGACTGTGAGAGAACTGATAGCGTGATTCATTCCTTCACATTATCTTGTGTCCCTCACTTTAACCTTCCTCTCCTCAGAGTAAGAACAATCCTTTCCTAAGCTCCTGGAAAGTACTGGCACTCCTTTTTCTTGTTGAAGATTCCATTTATTCTCAAAGAAGCTGTGCTAACTTTCAGTTTCTTATATGCTTAACATACTGTACTGCTGCCCTTCAGAGACTGCCAGATAACTAAAGGTTTCTCTCAACAAAATGATCACTGTATTTAGACATAAGTGTTTGCATTCACGCATTCATATCTGGTTCAAAGAGGTATCCATTTGCATTCCTTTATGATATGCAGGTGCAATAATTACAAACATGCGTGCACATTATACACTAGACACATGCAATCTGTTTGATGTCTTAAACATACTGGTGCACCTGGATGGAAATTTTTGTCCATGTATTCTGTATACAGACATGTCGTACTTGGATGTCACCCAGGATTTCCTTTGGACATTTATAAGCAGAGGATGACAAACCAAGCTAAGGGCAGAACAAGCAATATTTGTATTTATCTTTTCCTGCCTAGCTGACTAATATGACAAGATCTAGGCATCACAGTATCCTAACAGTGCCATCCATGAGGCATCCAGGGCAATATATTGCTTGGGAAATATGCCGTGACTGCTTTTTTTCCTCATGAACTAAGAGGAGACACTGAGCTGTGTTTTTCAGCAAAGTACCAACTGGCTGAGTGCCATCTCTTAGGTAGCAGAACTGAACTATCACATGTCATGAGGTTGCTCTTTTCAGAATATAAGGAAGTTGCCATGAACAATTTGGAGACATGAATATTCCTTTACTTCACCAGTTGATCTGTGTTTTGCCATTAACCCTCCTTCCCATACTGTTCTTTTGATCAGTATAACACACAGTAAGACACATCAGTAAGATGCACAGTGTTCAATGTGTCTTCTGTGGCTGTACACATTAAGTTGTGTGAAGGCCACTGGTATCAAAATGGCAGTAAATGTGCTGATGGAGCACATATACAACGTCTTACACATTCTCTATGAGGGAGGCTGACACCACGTTACTAATACCCCAGCAATTTTGTGTGAGAATTTCTCTCCTTTTTCCTGCTGGTTGCTACAGTACCTAATTGTAGTGAAGTCTACTTCATTCAATTGCTTCAGTATTTAGCCACAATGAAGAGCCTCAGCAGGCCTCACCATTTGTGGTGAAAAATGTTCTAACTAGCTTTCAGCACACCTTACTTCAAATGCACTTCCCTGTTGAAAGGGGAGTTCAACAAATAGAATCCAGGCTCCTTTAAACAGAAAACAGGAACAGACAGGCAGATAAGACTTCTAGCGAACTGCTCAGAAGAAAGCAATCACCTGATATAGGTTTCTATGAAGCAATCTCGCACTTTTAAAAACAAATAAATTGTTAAACTCTTAATCCAGGCAATGTACAGGTATCAATTAGCCAAAACTGCTTCTCAACATTTTTCCTTACAGAATTGCACCACTCACTGTGTTATGGCCCTACCTATCTTCTACAGACTATTTAGGACCTTGGTTTACTCCATTTATTTTCAGCATACTTCATGTATGCTGAGTAACTTGCAGATGTTTCTGAACATTCTTGCTGGAGGCAGAAGTATCCCCGACACCAGATCAGGTATGGCTTTGTCTAGCTGGGCCTTGTAGCCTCCAAAGACAGTCTACAGCCTCTCTGGGCAACCTCTTCCAATGCTGCAGCCCTCTTTT